GCAGCCTTTTTTACTCCTGGTTTGTTGTGTTTTGCTTTTTGTTTGTTTGTTTAGGTTTTTAAATTTTTTTTAAACTTCAAAGTGCTGTGAGTTTTGATACACTTCTAATCAGTCTTTAGAAAACGGAACAGATCCCCTTTGTGGTTATAAATCCCCTGTAAAACCACCTCACCCTGCAGAGGCAGAAAAGCCAAACATGACCTGCAGCTGAAGGGCTTTCTTTCTTAGACTATTTTAAAAAAAAATCCTTGAATATTATTAAGATATAATGTTATTTAAAATTATTACTGGTTGCTATTTGCTTGGCAGCAGCTGAGTCCCGGTCATGCTGGTGCACAGGTTTTACCACTTTGGACTCAGGATGTCTTGAGGGTTGGCACATTTTTACTGGTTTTGCCTTTGTACACGTTGGCTTTTCTCTGGTAAAAGCCTCTTCCTTCCTCTTTCCACAGTAGCTTCAAGATTAAATTAGACACTGGCTCCCAAAGCCACAATCCTGCAGCTAGAAAAGACTTTAATGTCTTGAATAGAAAATGCTGAATTGAAAACCTTCATCAGCCAAATCTCCACCTCTGGGGTGGGAGCTGCTGTCCAGAGGAGAAAGAATTCCTGGCACAAACCAGCCCGTTTCAATGCCTTTGTGGTTTTTCTCTTCTTTCTTTTTTATGTTTTAAACATCAGGAGCAGCAGTTTGAGCCCTTCATGCAGCTGATCAGGAGCCGTTCATTTGCTGCCCTGGAGTTTCTCAGGTGCTCCAGCATTTGAGGTGATGGGGTGGCATCAGTTACAAACCCACAGCTTGTGGCCACAGAACTGCTTTAAAATACAATTAAATGTTCCCATGAATGAACCCCAGAGGGGATTCCTGCTATGCTGGGACACCTCTCACTGTCCCAGGGAGCTCCAGCCTGGCCTTGGGCACTGCCAGGGATCCAGGCACTGCTCTGGGCACCTGTGCCAGGGCTCAGCACCCTCATAGGGAAAGATTTTTTCCTAATATCCAACCTAAACCTATTCTGTGTCCATTTGAAGCCATTCCCTGGGTGCTGTCCCTCCATCCCTTGTCAATCCTCTCTTCCCATCTTTCCTGCAGCTCCTCCAGACCCTGCAGGCCGCCCTGAGCTCACCCCAGAGCTTCTCCTGTGCAGGTGAACAATCCCAGCTCTGCCCCATCCCTCTGCCCACCCTGGAGCCTCCTCTGGGCCCTCTCCAGCAGCTCCAGCTCCCCCAGGTGCCAGGGCTGGGCAGGGGAGCTCGCTCTGACCTGGGCACAGAATCTCTGCCACCCCTGTGCCCGCGTTTGTGGGTGAGGAGGGGAGATGTGAACCGGGAGAGAAAAACTCCAGACCGGCTTGGAGCCCACCCAAAGGCTCTCCCATTGTCCCCCAGGCAAAGCTGTGGCCCTGCAGGAGCTCGGAGGGGTTTGAGGTTGCAGCCAGGGCTGCAAGGCTTCCTGTGCTGCCCCTGGAGACGCAACAACAACAACCAAACCAAACAACAGCCCTGCTGAACTCACCCCGAGCTCCTCACAGGGGCTTTCCCCTGCAGGTGCAATAGCTGGGGCTCAGGGATCATTGCAGAGCATTTCCTGTCACAGCAGTGCTGCTGAGTCCAGAGAGAAATTTTTAAAAAATTGTATTTTTATATCATTCAAGTATTATAACAATCAGTACTGCCCGGGTGGTAGGGGACTTATAAAGAGTTTTCATCAATGATGCTGCAGAAATAATTTTGGTGTTTTATTACTCAGCTGAAGTTGACTGCGTGGGCTCTGGCCATGTCTAAAGTGCTCACAGCAGAACAGGCAATCAGTTTGCTACCATTACATTGATTTATTGACAATCCACTCTAGAGAACTGGAAATATATGTAAAAATAGAAAATTGTTCTATATAGATATGAAAAATACCCTGCCTCAGTTACTGATGACTCAATGTGAAAAGTTGCCCCCTAATCTTTACAAGCCTTGATGGAAAATTTGGAGTGTAAAAAAAATGACTCATTGAGCTCCTACTAAGCTTTTCCCCCTCACCACATTTTGTATTAAATTTCCAGGAGGCAGTTTGTTTACAGTAAACACTGAGATCATAATTCACAATGAAAATCCTAATTCCAGTCACTTTTTAGACTTGCAGACAGCAGGACAGCAAGGCATTGACTCTGAATCAAGATTTCAGCATTCTCCAACCCTTACAGCTGCAGCAGGGCCTCTGATCTATAGAGAATTAATCTAGGTGGAATGTGGATACAGAAATAAATGTAACAAACCTTATACACTGGGTCCTGTCTTTCAAAATAGGAACACAGAGTGTTTCAAAATGTTTTCTGGTTTGCACGTAACAGAAAGAAATTCTGTCATGCAAGAGGGCACCAGGGCTGGCAGAGAAAGGATCTGTGTCTCCAATGTCACTGCAGCACAGCAGTAAGGTGGAACCTTGCTTTTGTATCTTTATAATTTCACAAATGTGTTTATTTCCAGCTCAATTCTGCTTTATCCAGCATCCTCACCAGAAGATGTTTCTCCCAGTCAGTGCTTTTGTCACCATGAAAAGCACAGGGGGACATCAGGTACAGGAGAGCCGTCTGTCTCCCCAAACACTTCACAGAGCGACAGAATGAGGCTGGCAGAGACCCCTGAGACCTCTGAGTGCCAGCTGTGCCCATCCCCACCTTGTGCCAGCCCTGAGTGCCACCTCCAGGAGTTCCTGGGGCACCTCCAGGATGGGCACAGAACCCTCCCTGGACATTTCCATTGTCTGACCCCCTTTCCATGGGGAAATTCCTGCTGTGCCCACCCTGAGCTGCCCTGGGGCCGTTCCCTCTGCTCCTGTCCCTGTCCCTGTTCCTGTCCCTGTCCCTGTCCCTGTCCCTGTCCCTGTCCCTGTCCCCTCCTGGCAGGGAACTCCAGAGAGGGAAAAATCCCTGGGGATCCTCCTGTGCTCCAGCTGAGCCCCTTCCCACTCCTTAGGAATTCTCCATTCCCTTCCCACTCCTCAGGAATTCTCCATTCCCTTCCCAGCTCCCTCAGGAATTCTCCATTCCCTTCCCACTCCTCAGGAATTCTCCATTCCCTTCCC